TTACGGCTCTACGAGCCAACCTGGACTTCGAAAGACGATCGATTATCCTCCGAAATACGGGAGGAAAACCTTACGCCATACCGATGAGATTGACCCTTCGTACTACTGTAGCCTCGTAGGCTCCTCAAGTAATGACAGGAACTCTCGGCGTGATCACCTGGGGAAACGCGGGGAGTGATGATCGATCATTGAAGGATGCGGATAGTAGTGACGAGGATGATGCGGCAATTCTAAAACTGGCGCGACAACGCATCAGTTACCCGGCGCAGCGAGCAAACGCAAAACCTTTGAACCTGACCGATAGAAACCTGCAGAGTACACAAGCAATGATTCTGGGAGAACCTCTAGTACAGATATCAAGGATGGTCGATTCTTTGGAACCCCCTCGAACCCTGTACGAAGGTATCTCCCCTCTCCTTGCGCGATACAACGACAAAAGACACTTCTACGACATCACGAGCCTCCCGCGATCACTTTTGCCACCTGCGAAAGAGATACGATTGCTACGCTTAGGGGCGGAGGCCAATTCCGTGGAACCCCTTGAGCGCCTCGAAACCGGAGTCGGAATCAAGATCGCAACGAAACCCGTGCAATGGCAGGATATTCTCGACGGAGTGACCCCGGAGGAACACGTGGCCATTCGAGAGCAGGACGCACAAATGATAGTCACGGTATTCTCTTGGCGATCGGATAACTCGTTTATTTTCGCACCCCCACCTGCAATCACTAAGCGGAAAAGTACGAAATAGATCGATGTGCAGATATGGAACCAGTCGTACAAATTGCACGTGCCCCACTATGTACCCGACGAGATCCACCACCTCATCGCGGAAATCCTAAAGGAATACCAGGGAGCGGTTAGCGTGACAGACACAGACATTGGACTATCACTGGTTATACAGCATGAGATTCAAACCGGAAACCACCCCCGATCCATTGTAAACCTTACAGATATTCCCTAGTGGAGCGGAAAACAGCGCTTCAACGGATTCGGGAGTTCGAAGCTAATGGTTGGATCGAACCCGCCACTGGGTCACGTTCATTCCCGATAGTATTAGTGCCGAAGAAGAACGGGTCAATTCGCATTTGCATCGATTACCGAAAACTGAATGATATCACGATCAAAGATGTGTATCCCCTTCCTCGGATTGATGATTTGTTGGATGCGATTGGGTGTGCTAATTATTTTAGTAAATTTGATATTCGTCACGGTTTCCATCACATCTTGGTTAAGGAGGAAGATCGACCGAAAATGGCCTTCGTATTGTTTGAGGGCACCTGGCAGTGGGTTCGATGTCCTATGGGGATTTGCAACGCGCCTACCACATTTCACCGGGCTATGAATGTGACGTTTCGTAACTTCGTCAACAAAACACGGCTAACTCAAGGAATGATCAACTTTTTGCGTCATCGTGTATATGGACGACATCCTAGTCTACTCGGAGACCTATCATGCGCACACAACATATCGAGTGGACACTGGGAGCTCTGAGAGACGTCGAGTTCAAGATCGCGCTCGAGAAGAGCGAGTTTTTCCTATCGGAGATCTCGTTTTTGGGCTACGTGGTGACGCGGGGAGGACTGCTGCCAGATTCGAGAAAGGTCGCGGCGGTGAAGGATGCCCCCGTTACCACATCGCTGACGTAGGTTCGAACCTTCTTGGGACTAGCGTCATCCTAACGTCGTTTCATCAAGCGCTTTGCCGCGATAGCAAGACCCCTAACGAACTTGCTGCGGAAGGACCAACCTCTCAGTTGGGACGCCGAGTGCGAGCAGGCTTTCGCCACCCTCAAGGACGCCCTGGCCACAACACCTATTTTGATCCGGTCAGATCCTACGAAGCAGTTCATTCTCATTACGGACTGGCAACCGGAGGCAATTTCCACCATTCTAGCGCAAAAGGGGAACGACGGCCGATAACATGTCATCGAATACACATCGCGCACGGTGCCCGACAAGCAGAGGAACGATTCGGCCCCGCAAGGCGAATGTTGCTCCATGGTATGGGGAATCCAGCACTTCCATCTGTATCTTTACGGACAAAAGTTTCTACTAGTGACAGATCACGAGCCGCTGCTGGCTCTGAAGAGGCTCACTAACCACACCGGTATGATTGGGCGTTGGGCGGTACGCCTGCAGGAGTACAATTTCGACACCATCCATCGAAAGACGGAGAGGCACGGGAACGCCGACCGGTTGACACGTCTACATCGACCAGCTAAGGTACCTAAAGGCGAAGAAATCATTCCGTGGAAGGAGCCGGAATCGACGAACGGACCCAAGTACGGACAAGTGGCAGTCCTCCCATGTGGCAAGAAGTAGACAAGTGGCAATGGGGGACGGAGGTAATCCTACAACACCTCTCTCTCCCCTCTCACCTTCATCTCTTCTCTCTCTTCCCGACAAATTTTGTTATTTGTGCGAAGCGATTTCACGCGTTTATTCCGTCCCTATGCATCCTACCGAGGAGGGATATGTCAAATGGGTAGATTGTCGGCAGTGTGTCGCGCGAGCCCATGGCTCTTGCATTCAGTATCGAAATGGCAACAAGCCTTGGTTGTGCCCCTTGTGTCGAGTCGATAAGATCCCGACCGAGGCTCAATTTCTCGCCGCCACGTCAGAAGGGTTAGAAAGGACCCAAAAATTTAGAAGGGTTGAGGTATGGATGGATATTGCTTTAATCGCCACCTTGGTAGGTAACCCCCTCCAGGACTTCACCAAGGAGGATAGGAGGAGGGTCAATGAGAGGGCTCGGGACTATCGCTGGAACGAGGGTCGGTTAGAGAAACGGAAAACGGATGGTAGGGGGATTTGGATGATAGTGTCGCACTCGTTCATGAGGTATGAGTGGGTTAGGACGGCGCATGAGGAAACTGCAGCCCATTTTGCCGTCCGAATCACGGAAGCGACAATTGACAAAAACGAGTGGTATTGGTCCAACATTCGCGACGATGTTAAATTCATCGTCCAGCATTGTCAGGTCTGCGCTGCCGACAAGGCGCCGGTTCAACCACCACGGTCGATAGTACCGACGGTGGTTGAAAGGCCCTTTTAAAGGGTTAGTATGGATACTACCGATATTGTGGTGCCTCCTGGACCTAATAGCTGCGAATATTCAATCCTACTAGTATTCGTAGACCACTTCTCGAAATGGATCGAGGCGTATCCGTGTCGAACGCGACAGGCGGCTGAAATCACGCGATACGTCAACCGTTTTTTAGGAATGCATCAGGACACGGAGGAGATCCTGACCGATAATGGGGTGGAATTCAGAGGGGAAGTTTTGAGGAACCCGATCATACACGGCGTCGCTATTCGGAATACTGCACCCCACATGTCATAGTCTAACGGGCTGGTAGAGAACGCAAATAGGGTGATTAAGACTGCACTGCGATGAAACATCGTGGCACGGGATCCGAGACCCTGGCCCGATATCGTGGATCACATCCTATCGGTCCATCGGGGGACGCCTCACGAATCGACGGGCCTGAGCCCCCTTCAATTACGGACCAATAGTGTGGCTTGCGTTTCAATACCGAGCCTCCCAGACGAATCTTCGTTGAACCGACAGCCCACGAGGGCCACGGTTCGAGACAAGGCCAAGCGGCACCTGGAGCTGATGGAGCGGTCCCTTCCCCGATTAGCCTGAAAGCGCTAGAAAATGACTGAGTTGGCCCACGGTCGACAGGTCCGCAGTTACGAGGCCCGGAATGGGAATGCGGGACCACGGCCCTAGTATAAGTTAGGGAAAATCGTGCAGGTGAGGAAATGTGCTCGCCAGGGTAAGCTAGCGCCACCATTCTTCGGGCGATTTCACGTAGTCGAGCTCGATCCGAACGGAGTGAACACGGTGTGGCTCGTGCCTGAGGTCTCCGGCAGCCAATCTGGTCGTCCGATCACTCGCCACGTGTCCTATCTGCGGCCTCTCCCTTCCTCTCCATCTCCGCCTTCATCCGCCTCCTCCTCCAGCACGGAAGAGGACGACGACTGCTTATCGCCCTCTCCTTCTCTGTCTCGCTCCCCTACCGATACTCCGTCCCCGCCACCATCGCCATGAGTTTTTCCACCGAGCAGGTTCTTGGCGAGCACATGCTGGCACCACGCAACGATATTTCGGTAATCAGACAAGTCCATCATCCACGGATCAGTCCGGATTTTCTTCGATTTGCGCAGTTCTTCAGCACCACTGGAGTGTATGCGGCAGCAGAGTTCCGTTTTGCGGCGCATAGCCGAACACTCGTATTGGCCGAGGCATCGGCTTATCGACGACTTTCGGCGCCAGGGGTCAGCCACGTGTCTACCGTCGTCGTCTTCAGCGGGGACATCAGCGCACTGGACCCTACAAGGCATACGGCAATCCGGACATCGCTAAGGGAGTGGGGAGAGCAGTTAGCACAGGAGTGGAGTCGGTGGCTTGCGCGACACGGCGACAACCTCGTCGTCACCAACAGCGTCGAAGTCGGCGGGCTCCGCACATCCCGACGCGAGCCGGCGGTGGCGCTCCCAGAGCTCGTCCCCTTCCTGCACCCTCAATGAACCGGTCCCAGTTCTCAATCTTTGCCCTCCCTTCTCTCTTCCCCACTTTCTGGCAGTCTGCTCTCCATCCCCGTCTTTCTTTCTGTGTCCAGCCACTTGCCGTTCCCCTCATCGAGCCAAGACGTTGGGAAATCTGGCGTGAGCACTACCTCACTCTTTCGCTGTGCCTGGTCGAAGTGGAGCTGACGTGGACACGGGACAGTGAGCATCGTGCCGTGAGGGAGAGCGTGGAGCTGCTGATCATCTAGGCTTGGAGAACAGAGGTGGAAGGAAATTTCCTCGGATTCGTCTTCGGAGCGGTAGAGCCAGGCATCGGCAGACGATCGTGTGGGAACTCACGATCCCCTTTGCGCAGCTGGTCGACGACCTCCCCCTCGACAACATATCGCAGTGTGACGAGAGCCCGGTGCCGCACGTTCTTTCGCGAAGGTTAACGCCGTATTTGCAGTGGTCCGCCTGCTAAGAGGATCGAACGGGAGGTGGCAGCTACCCATCGCGCGCGGAGTATGTGAACCCCCGGGGGATCATCGACTTCCTTTTCTTTCAGCCTCGAACGGCGGAGGAAGAGACAGCAGTGGCGGAGGAAGCGGAGGTGGAGGACGAAAGCGAAGAAGAAACCTCGGAGGAAGAAGGAAGGTACAGCGAGTACACCGAGGAAGAATCAGGGGCGGAGAATGAAGAAGAAGAAGAAGAAGAAGAAGAAGAAGAAGAAGATCAGTTGGAGGAAGAGGAAGGATCTAAGTGGGAGACTCGAGGTGAGGAGGCGGAGCACGCTGAAGCTCAGGAGGAGGATCCTGAGGCGGCAGCACGACGGAGAGAGGAGATCGCGGCCGGGAAGCAGCCGCTGGAGTACGTGAGTGGTGCGGATCTGCCGATCCCAAACGACCCGACCAAGGATCCAGAGCCGCCCAAGAACGACGATGGGGACCCTACTGCCGAGACTTCGAGCACACCGGCGTGGAGACGACGGAGCCAATCTCGATCTCTATCCACCCGCCCCCCAGTTCGAGCACGTGTCGATGCGGGGCATCGGGCTTCGTCCTCGGTCGTTATCCCGCCGTCCCCTTGATTACCTCACCCTCCGCCAGATTACTATCCCGGTCTCTTTCCTTCAGAACCCCTTGCCGACTAACGCCTTCCGTCACTTCTACGCTACCTGCCTCGCTATCACGATACACCCACACCCTTCTACTCGGTGCGCCACCCCCATGCCATTCTCTTTAGTGCCGCGTGGCGAGGCCACAACATGATCGAGGTCTATTGCATGATCACGGGGACTATCCCCACATGCGAAAACCATTATCGATTCTGGGCGGCCCTCCTCCGCACCTTCACAACCCTCTACCCCGACTATCTCGCGTTTCTCCCCCATGGTGGTACCCGCTTCCCTCGCTTCCATCGGATCGTCCGATATCAGGAGCTTCCGGTGACAGTCACGGGAATGGAACGCTTCCTACCCCCGCTCCCGACTGACCCACCCCCTCAACACGCCCCCATGTACCGCCTTCCCTTTCCTCTCCTTGCTAGTTACTGATGCGCGGGTGCATGGCACGTGTCGCAAAGATGGCACGAGCGATCCCCTCCTCCAATGGACAGAGCCCTTCCTGAGGAACTTGTAGGATAGAGCTGCGTATGCCACACTAGATGACGTCCACACTCTTTCACACGGTAAGTGGACGTAGAAAGCTCCGCGTTGTCGATCGTTTAGAAAGATCGACACGTGTCGTAATGTCAAGCAAGCGGGAGCTTGCTTAAAACTGGAACCCCCTGGGCATCACATATGTGACGAACCACTTTCTGTGCCGCGCGACTTTCTGCGCGATGACAATGAGGGGTCCTAAGATGGGAAGGTTGGGCCAATTACGGGAGATGGGATCGACAGGAAATTGCATCAGTATCCTTGTTTGTTCCTCTTCTTACGTCGCTTCTTTTGGATGGTTGGGGCTAGGGCTGGGCAAGTCCCGGGATGGTCGGTTGAGTGGCTGGCACGCCGACAGAGGCGCGATTAATAATGTTTGACGTCGCTTCTTTCTTGTTCTATTGTCAATTTTATTTTATTTTTTGCGCGGTAGTCGCGTGGGAGTTTTTGTTTCTTTCTTTTTTTATAATTTTTTCTTAGAATCTTGTCGAGCCCTCGATGGCTCTCGGAATTTCGGACTTTTCTTTTCGGGATTTGTGTTTTCATACAGTTTCTTTTGCATTTTTGCGAGAATATGAATTTAGGAGTTCGATTTTTTTTTTTGTTGCGCGGTGCTTTTTCGCTTGCGCGTTTCTTTTTGTGACTGCAACGGAGCTCTGATTAGTCGGCGCCCTTAATCTTGCGTGTAACCGTAATTTTGGGCGGGGCGCCCTTGTAACTGTATCTTTCTTCTTGAGCTTCGTCTTTCCCGCTCTCTCTCTCTTCCTTGCTGTGTCTAATTGGCCCGCGGGCTGCATAATCGGATCGATGCGTGGAGGATGGCTACCCCACACCACGATCTGGCCATGCAGAATGTAGGCACTCCCTCCCCTTCTCTCCTTCTAAGTCCTTGCAATTCCGTGTTCTTCGCGCATGCATGCAGACTATAAATTTCGGCTGCGCGATTAGATAGCTCTCTTAAACAGTTGCTGGGGGTAGCGCGATCAGCGAGGGTCGGCTCACGAGCAAAGTAAGAGGTGAGTTGAAGTGGGAGTTGGGCGACCCGACAAGTTGGTGCCGAATGTGCGGGATTGACGCATGGGGCTACGACGAACTGTAGCGCGCGGACGAATCCGACGGGCACAGGAGGACTAAGCGGGGTGACAACTTCGTGGGTTGGTGCAAGACGACGGACTGTCCGCATCTGAGAGAGAGAGAGAGAGAGAGAGGGAGAGAGCGGAGGTTGACGGGCGTGGAGTTGTAATTTTCTTTGTCCTTTCCTTACTTTTGTATATAAGTTTTGATTTCGGCTCGGGCAATTCGCCCTTATTTTTCTTTCGACATCTTTGTCAAGACGTTGTCCCTCGTATGGTGTCTCATTCGGTCTCAATCCTCCCTATTTTGTGTATATTGGATGCACGAGTTTTGATGGAATGATACGCCTGCCATTTTTGCCTAATCATCATCGTTGCTTGTCACTTTGATCTGTTGTCATTATAATAAGAGTTTGATGTTGTTGCGGCGTGCGATGTCATTTTGCGTGATCGGAAATGATTGGTTGCGGGATCATTGAATGATTAGAGGATTGGATGGGTATCCATACCACATGGCGATGTTGCATGTAGGATTGAACCCTCACTTTTGCACGAAAAAACATCCAACAGGCCTGTGTACGACCGAACACCTCGTGTCCGCACGTGTAAGCACGATCTGATCAGCGCGGCCTACACGTGTCCACATGCGGGCGATTCGCGATGACTGATGAACTGGGCCCCTCCAGTATCGGGATAAGTGTGGAATTTTCTTTTGCGAGAATTTGAGCTGGCAAGAATTCCGCCCCCGTACCCGGGAAATTCCCTTCTCGGTCGAAGTACGATCCGATGTATGCAGATCCGCCGGAATGCCAAGATGTCAAAGTACAGTGAATACTAGGAGGAAGAACAACTAAGGCTGAGACATCTGGAATTCCCCTGTCTAACCGACAGGGACTTCCGTCGCGCCATAACCAGTGACCTGAGGGCCCCCGACTACCCAACTACGTATAACACGCAATATTTCATATCTCCCAGCTTTGTCGTTATCGCCACCAATTTCCCTCCCTTCCACATCCTCCTCCCATACCATTAGCTCACGGTGGTACCGTGGAACTCCATAGCCCCTTATTGGCCCCACACGCCGTGCAGAAATTGCAGACAACGCGGCAACCGCCGACTCTGCGCCGAGCTTTTGGGACCACGGAGTCTAGCTATAACGCAAGACGTCAATCAACACGTGTCCACACCCGGAGGTCCGAACCATAGAACCCGCAAGCCCCGCGAACGGACCTCTTCCGAACCACCGACACTGAAACGGGGGGGGCGGACAACCCCAGGATCCACCGCGCATGCCATCTGCCTTACGCTGCACGACCCCGACCGCCATCAGACCGAAAGCAACCCGTCCCTTAGCCTCATTTGCACCTATGCCCCTGGGACTCCGCCACAGGAGATCTCAGTTCTGACCTGGGACTCCACCCCCAATTTCCCAAAAATCCTTGGCACACCCCTTTTCGCACTTCTAGGCCCACATCCCACTCCGATCAGGAAGTTGCATCGGACGTGAGGTTGGGCGTCACACCGTGGCGGCGGCTGTGTCTACCGTTGTTCTTCGATGTCAGCAGGAGAAAGCGCTGCGAGGATTGAAGGAGCAGTTGCGCGCGCGTAGACGGAGGACGTTGATGCAAGCTCCAGACAATGGCCCCGACTACGTGGCGACGTCGGAAGCTGTTGTTCAGTTGTGCTACGCGTTGGGTTGCAGAGGCTGTTCACACATGGAAGAAGACAACGATGAGAAGCAGCTCGACGACGAGGAGCAGCAGAGGCAGCCTGTGCAGCAGGTCGGCCATGTAAGGGTCGTGGAAAGGGCAGCAGCTCCACGTCATGTGGTCGACCGTCCAGCGAAGAACTCCGTCGACAAAAGAAAAAGTGAGGGAAGATCTGTGCTCCGATGTGCAAGGCGTGACGACAACCAACAAAAACAACGATCTTCCCAAATCCACCTGTCATTGTCGAACACAGCGCCGGCGCGGAAAAGCATTCAAATTTCTGACCGTTGTCGACGATCTCCCAACGCGCCAGACCACATGACACCGGCCGGCGACGGCCGATTCGTCGGACGGAGGCCTCACGCGGACGGTGACCGTTTGGAGTCGTTGGGGTGCCGCCCAAACGGTGGAGGGCAGGGATGTTCGTGCTCCCGTTCAGTGGACCACGTCCGGACCACCCTCAAACCGAAACTGTGCGTCGACGCATGCCTTCGCTGCTCCGAATTTCACGCTTCCTTGTGCTCCGAGGGACCTCGGGAGGTCCCTTGGGGATTAGGAAAAATTGGCTGTAGCCACAAGGATGCCATAAGGAAATTTCCTTGTGTTGTTTTCACTTTTTTTTTCGCGAATCGTCCCCGAGGACAGGTGGAACGAGCACTTCCTTGTGGATTTCGGGTCCACAAGGAGTGTCTAACGAGGCCCTGAGAGCCTCGTTCCACACCACTTGAAAATACTTGAGTTTTGAGTGCACAGTAAACGAGAAATTGTGATTACTTTACACTTCGACTCGATTTATGGTTCCATGTACACTTGAGGAAACCCTTGAACAGGCTGCACTTCAAACTGAACTCCACCGCTTGACCAATCCTGGATCTGGAAAAAACGGAAAAAACGAAAAAAAGGCCCCACTCCGAGTGTTGGCGGTATCTGCTGGCACTTGAACTCAAGGTACCTCCGGGAGGTGACTTGAGTTCAAGTGCGATTTTGCCTGTGTAGCCCTTGAGTTTCAAGGGTGCACCCTTGGGATGCAAAAAAATGAGAATAAAGCGGGTCGCTTTTAGGGGGGGGTGGAACAACGATTTTTCGCTTTGCTCTTGAGTGCGGTGGAACGAAGCCCTGAGACTTGTGCGGGAGTATCTGCCATGAATTGCTTGTGATCACTGTTCCTGTTTTCCCGTTCTTTGTTCTCGTTTACTCTTTGTATTATTCCACTTCTGTCACGAATTGCTTGCGAGCATTGCCCTGGTTGCTTCGGCCCCTCGCCTGCACCGTTGAACTAGTTCAACACTGAGTTCAACACCGAGTTCAACACTGAGTTCAACACTGAGTTCAACATTGAGTTTGCTCATCCTATCGATGGTAAACTCTCTCTCTCTCTCTCTCTCTCTCTCTCTCTCTCTCTCTCTCTCTCTCTCTCTCTCTCTCTCT